AGGCCTGGTGCATATTATGCTAAGTGAGATGTCAGACAGAGAAAACAAGCACTTTGTATGATATCACTTATATGTGGAATCTTAAAAAGCCAAACTTGTAAAAACAGAGAATAAATGGTAGTTACTACAGGATGGGAAGAGGGGTGAGGGAATAGGACAGATGTTCTTTAAGCATACAAACTCCTAATGAATAGTAAATAAATTGTAGATATCTAATGCACAGTACAGTGAATATAGATAACAACATTGTATTATAATCATCGAACTTTCTAAGAGATTAGAACTTAATTATTACAACTACACAAAAACAAAGGAGAGTTATGTAATGTGATAGAAGTACTAAATATTGCTACAATGACAATCATCTTACAGTATATTCATCTATCAAATTAACACATTGTACACCTTAAATTTACACAATGTTATATTTCAAATATATTTCAATAGAAACAAGATCCACACTAGGACACATTATAATTAAATTATCAAAGTCGAAGACAGGAGAGAATCTTAAAAGGAGTAAGAGAAAAACTATCTGTTATGTACAAGGGAATGCCTAAGGCTATTTTCAGCAGAAAATTTGCAGGCCTGAAGGTAGTGGCATATTATATTCAAAGTGTTGAAGAAAACACCTGCCAAATAAAAATACTCAGAAAAATTGTCGTTCAGAATTGAAGAGATGTAGTTTTGAGACAAGCAAGAACTGAAAGAGTTTATAGCCACTAGACTTGCCTTATAAGAAATATTAAAGATTAATCAATATAATATACCTCATTAACAAACTGAAAGATAAAATCATGTGACAATTTCAGCAAATGCACAAAAAGCATTTACCAAATTTAACATGCAGTTTGGTAAAACTCTCAACAAAGATGGTATTGAAGGTACATACCTCAACATAATGTTGAGAAGGCCACAGCTAATAACATCATAGTCAATGGTGAAAAGCTAAAAGCATTTCCTCAAAGATCAGGAATAAGATAAGGATGCCTACTGTTGCCACTATTATTCAAGATAGTACAGGGAGTTCTAGACAGAGCAACTCAGCAATAAAAAGAAATAAAAGGCATCCAAGAAAGGAAGAAGTCAAACTGTATTTATATATGACATGGTCTTATATATAGAAAGCCCTAATGTCCATCACAAAACTGTTCGAATTTGTAAACAAATTTAATAAAATTCCAACATACAAAGTCAATATACAAAAGTCAGTTGCCTCTGGCCAGTGTGGCTCAGTGGTTGAGCATTGACTCATGCTCTAAGAAGATGCCTGTGTGATTCCCAGTCAAGACACATGCCCAGGTTGTGGACCAGATCCCCAGTGGGGGGCATGGAGGAGGTGGCCAGTCGATGTTCTCTCTCATCGATGTTTCTCTCTCTACCTGTCACTTTCTCTCTCGCTAAAATCAATAAAAGAAAAAAAAAAACTTTATAAAAAAAAGTCAGTTGCATTTTTATACACAATATTGACTATTAGAAAGAGAAATTAAAAAAAATAATTTCATTTAAAATTTCATCAAAAAGAGTAAAATCCCTAGAAATAAATTTAACCATGAAAGTGAAAGACCTGCACACTGAAATCTATAAGACATCACTAAAAGAAATTGAAGACACAAATAAATGGAACAATATTTAGTGTTTATAGATCACAAGAAATAATATTGTTAAAGTGTCCATACTACCCAATTATTCAATGTAATCCCTATCAAAATTTCAATACCGTGTTTCACAGAAATAGGACAAATAATCCTACAATATGTATGACATAAACCACAAAATTTCAAATAGCCAAAGTAATCTTGAGACAGAACAAAGGTGAAGGCATCACACTTCTTAATTTCAAAATGAATCACACAACTACAGTAATCAGTAATCAAAACAGTATAGTACTACCATAAAAAAAAAAAATGCATAAAACAATGGAACAGAATAGAGAGCCCAGAAGTAAACCCATGCATATATGGTGAACTAATTTATGACAAAGGAACAAAGAATATACACTGAGAATGGATAGTTTCTTCAATAAATGTTGCTGGGAAAACTGAACAGCCACATGCAAAGAATGTAACTGGACCACTGTCTTACACTATGCACAAAAAGCAACTCAAATAACCAACTCAAATAAACCAAATAACCAAATGGGACTTAAAAGAGTCCACATAGTAAAGAAAGCACAAAAAATATTAAAAGGCAATCTATTGAATGGAAGAAAATATCTACAAATCATGTATCTGATAAGGGGTCAGCATCTAAAATATACAAAGAACTTATAAAATGTAGCACCAAAACATAATTCAATTAAAGTGGGCAGAGGATCTGAATAGACATTTTTTCCAAAGAGATACCAATGGCCAACAGGCACATGAAAAGATGTTTAACATCACTAATCCTCAGTGAAATGCAAATCAAAACCACAGTGAATATTACCTCATACTTGCTAGAATGACTGTTGTCAAAAAGACATGCGATAACCAACGCTGACAAGGATATGGAGAAAGGAGAAGCCTTGTACATTGTTGGTGGGAATGTAAATTAGTACAGCCACTATGGAAACAGTATGAGGTGCCTCAAAAACTAGAATTATACAAAAATTCCACTTCTGAGTATTTAGCCAAAGAAAATGAAAACATTAACTGGAAAAGATATGCATACTCCTACGTTCAGTGCATCATTATTTATAATAGCCAAGAAATGGAAACAACCTAGACGTTTATATAAATAATGAAATTTTATTCAGCCATTAAGAATTAAATGTTGCCATTTGCAAAACATGGATGGACTTTGAGGCATTATGGTAAGTAAAATAGAGCAGGCAGAGAAAGATAAATACTGCATGGTATGACTTATATATGGAATTTTAATAAATAAATAAATAAATAAATAAATAAATAAATAAATAAATATCAAATTTATATAAACAAAGTGACTGCCAAGGGCTAGGGGAAATGGGGAGAGGTTGGTAAAAATGTAAGGCCTAAGGATCTAATAAAGCATGGTGACTATAATTGATGACCATGTTGGTAACATTGTAAAGTTGAAATTTGTTAAGAGAGTAGATACTAAATATTCTCACCGAAGGAAAAAATAAATATGTGAGGTAATGGATGTGTTAATTATCTTGATAGAGGCAATCCTTTCATAATGTATATTAAGTCACCCCAGTGTACACTTTGATATCTTGCAATTTTATATGTCAATTATAACTCAATAACACTGAGTTTAAAAAATTGTTTTGATTTTAAAATCAATAAAAGTAATTAACAAATATGTGAAATTTAAAGCCCTGTGACTAGATTAGAACACCTAGGAAGAAAGTGTAAATAGAGAAGAAAGTAAGAGTGAGAACTAAGCCCTGGAAAAGTCTCACATGCAAAGATCATGAAGAGAACAAACTCAAAAGAGTAAGATGAACCACAAAGAGTGTGGCAGGAAGATGCATGAGATCATATTTCAAGGGGAGAATATTTGTTGTACATTGTCCAATGCTTCTGAAAAGTCACAGAATATGACTAGTGATTGAACATTTTGTAATGATTTGCTTTAGGTTTAGGACCTATCTTTGAAAAATGAAAATTTCCTTAATAGATTCTTTTTCTTCATCTTTTAAACAAACCAAAGAGTTCTGCTGCTTAAGATACAACTCAAGAAAGAAACTTGACTTATTTACTGGGTAGCAATCACTGTAATAAGCCATAGTGAGCAAAAAGAGCCAATGTTTTATTCTCTGGAAACTCAGAGTCTTTGTATAATTATTCTGAATATTCACTTATTTATTTATTTACGTACTTTTATAATTTAGTATTTTGATTATTGGAAGATAAACTTTGGATTAGTAAATTCTTAAATGATGTTTAGAAAAATAATTAAAAATGAAGGTTTTCTATTAAATTGAACATATTAAAAGGAATGAAAGGATGTAGAAAATGTTACAAAATACAGAACCTAGCAATAAAAGATAAATAATAATTTTGCATTAGCAGGGAACACAATGAACCACAACTAGACACTGGGTAATCCAAATGAGTATATTCATTGCTTACATTCATGATTTTCTAAACAAAACTTGATAGCTTGGCTCCTTTATTAGGATATATGTTTTCAGAGTGTTCTTTCATTTATGGTTCAAATACATTATTCTTCTTTTTATTTTAATTCTTGACGAAGGTCCAGATGCTACACGTGCAGTATGGTATGTTCACCTTTGAAACTGGATGTAAGGGATATGAAAAATAGAAGTTCATGTCTCAAAGTTATTTATTTTACCAGTCCCAAAATTTGCCTAATTGAGCATAATTGCTAAAATCATAATTCGTGGGAATTATAAAACATGCTATTAAAATTTATTTTTATTTCTTGTGTTTATAAATATATGGGAACATTTGATCGAATGAAAGTTTTTTTTTTAGAAATTGGTATATTACTCAAAACAGCATTCACTATTAAAATAATTTCTTTCACCCTGGCCAGTTTGCTCAGTGGTTAGAGCATCAGCCAGTGGATGAAAGAGTCACGGGTTCGATTCTGGTCAAGAGCACATACCGGGGTTGCGGTTCATCCCTGGGCCTGGTCGGGGTCATGCAGGAGGCAGCCACTCGATGTGTCTCTCTCACATTGATGTTTCTCTCTCTCTCTCTCCTTCCCTCCCTCCCTCCCACTTTACCTGAAGATAAAGGGAAAATATATATATATATATATATATATATATATATATATATATATATCCATCTATATATATATATCCATCCTTGAGTGAGGATTAAAAAAATTTTTCTTTCATTCTCATCAGAATCTAAATAAAATTGTAAAGTCTTCTAATGGTAGTAGGGAAACTACTTTATCCAAAATAACAACAATCAAATCTAGGAGAATGTTTTTGTTTGGATTCAAATTAAAGACATTTTATAAGGTGAGTTTGGAAGTGGACTAAACCTAGGGTGCTCTGAAAGATGTCTTCCTAAACATTTTTCAGGATTTTTCCTTTTCCTTTTTCTTTTTAACAGGAGGATTATACCGATTGTGGTGGCGCTTCTGGATTAAATCCTTCCCTGTGGTCCATCATTGGAATCCAGTTTGTACTGCTTTGGCTTTTATCTGGCATCAGACACTGCCAGTTATGAACTTCCAAAGCCAAATCTGCATAATGAAACTCCAGACCCTGCCAAAACATGAGTCCTCAATTGCATTAACATAGGGTCAACCGTGGAATCAGCAGAACATTAGCTGGGCCCATAACATGGCATAAAGCTAAGGCGTAGACTCACAAGGCACCCACTGGCTGCATGTCAGGGTACCAGATCCTTAAACTTGTATGAATGTTGCATCATCCATGTATAACATCAAAGCAAAATTCTATACGTGCTTTACCAGGAAGTTCAAAAGTTTGTTGTTGCATTGTTGGTGATTACTTGTAAAAGGGCTCCCCACACAACTGTTTATGAATCATACAAATTGTCTTGATTTTGACCTTGAATTTGGACTTGCTGCAATCCTTGTTCTTTAACCAAGAAAATCTCTAGGGGGAAAAGAGAGTTATTTTTTGCCTTCACTTATTCTTCTGTTGAACATTATTTCCTGTGTTGAATAGTTATTACTTTTTTAAAAAGTATATATATATAATTATAAATACATATAATTATATATATTATATATATATATATAGAGAGAGAATTAACATTGATATAATCTGTTGAAATAGAAATAATGGCTAATTTTCTATAAAAAATTTGCCATGAATAAAATGCCTTATGAAAAATGGCTTCTCTGCCAAAAATTAACACAAATGATGACTAATTAAGTTTTAGTGGGGTAATAAATTGTTTGTTTGAAAATGATAACTAAGAAATTATTAAACTAAAGGTGCTTGAGGGTAAATTTGAATATGTGGTATATTTCCTCATAAATGTAAGCCCTTAATAAGTGCTTCAATGTAATGTTCCGTTTGTTCACAGTAAAGTTATGTAGTGCTAGCCAGATATTTCAAAATGCTCTAAGAAAAGCTTGTTGGGGGAGGGGAAGATGTATTTTCTTGTGATAAACGAACTTTGGTTGCCAAGGGTATTTTGCATGATGCTGCTGCTATTTTAATTTTCAGTTCGTTTTTCTCTTACTGTATAGTCCATTGAAAAGTTAACTGAGTGACATTATTGTTATTTAAGAATCTGAACCTTGCAGTGTAATGCACTTAAGTCATCTTTGAAAATGTTGTTAAACTACTCTGAATATACTGTGCAATGTAAATGCTGAATGATTGGGATAGGTAAATGGTGACATGGGAATTAACGGATTTTATACAGATTCGTGCTTTTGCCTGAAAACCTATGTACAGATATTTTAAGTACATAAATCAGATTTGACACATTTATTTTTTGAAAAGTACATATATGTTCTCAGTGAAGATTCATCCTAGGTTTCCTCTTTGTTCGTTTGCTAGTGGCACATACAATCCAAAAACTGCTGCTGCTACCGCTGCTGCATCCCTCCATTTTCAGTGGTCTGGTCACTTGACCAAAATGTCCATGCAGATTGACGAGGGTTTTACAATACTCTGAACAAACAGGAAACCTTGATTCTATATGTATGCACATGAATACTTGATTATGAATAATCAAAATTGTTTTTATACAGCCTTATTGGTGAAAATCATTAGCATAGTAAATCAAACATTTCATTCTAGATTAATATAGAAGCAGAATATTATTTGTGCTTTTAAAAGTTATTTTCAGAGGTAAACAGTATTTGAAGAAGGGGTAAAAACTGAATGTGTAACTAGTTGTAGTGAATAATTCTGCTGAAGGCTGAAGTATGCAGATACTTTTTATGGTAAAATGCATTTGTTCTTTTTTTGAACATGTCAAATATTGGTGTGTGTATATGCTGGAAAGTTTCTTAGATATCCTTTTTAAGTAAAAATCTTATTAACATAATCCAGCATGCTTTAATATGCTCCACATATCAAAAATAACCAATTCTGTAGCATAGCTTAAAAGATATATTTGTTTTGTCTTTAGCTTTGCATACATTTGTTAATTCCCTCCTACTGCCAATATACCCTAGGTACTATTTGCGTACATTTCCTTATTTAAAATATTTTTTTATTTGAAAATGGGGCAGGGGAGGGGGGAATGGATTCACTTTGCCAACTATTGTTCTAAGAGTTAACATCAGTTCCATTTTTAATGCATTGTTGTGATTTTTGTAGTCTCATTTGTAACTGGTATTGACATTTTAGAAAACACCAAAGTTATTTAAAAAAAATGAAATTTCTCACTCTAGTAGCAATGTTTAAATCATGTTGTTTGTTAATTAAATATTTAAAACTTATTGTTAACTTTTGCTAGACTATTTTAAATCATGAAAGTGTTGGGAAGGGGATATCAAAATATAAAATTATGTTAGTTTGTGTATATAAGCAACACGTTGAAACAATGGAATTGCTTCCAGCATACAACAAACTACCTTAAAATTATCTTTAAACTCTGTTAAATATATTTTCATGACTAATGTCACTGAAAAAGTATGTATTTATTGACTACATTGTTGTATTAATCAAAGTTAAACTTGGCATCACTTGGCAGGGTCCTATTTGATTTCATTAGCCATCAAAATATATTTACATGCAGAAGTCTTGCTATGATCACTTATTTTCTGCTATACAATAACCTAATATATTATGACAACCACATATATGATTATAAATTGGGTAAGAACGTGTTCTCTGACTAAAAATTGTTCTGAATTCTAATACTTATCTTCATGCCTCTAGCATACTTACATTTTATAAGACAGTAACATTCATCTCATCAAGTTGTTATATTTAATTTGGGTTTTTTTTTCTCTGAGTTCTAATTGTTGAAAGAATTTAAATTATAGCCTATTATAAACATTGATTTCCAAAGACTAAAAAGTACAAGAGATCAAGAAAAAAGCTTTTAAACTCTTCACTTGTTTAATTTTTGCTATACTCATGCAACTTTAAAATAGTTTGTCATTAAAACAAATTCAAACAAGTCTTGCATTGGTGTAACGGGAACACCTTTTTGCATTAATGGTTTTCTTCATTTGAACAACCAGCATTACTGCCAAACACCAATCGTGGTCCACATTTGTAACTGGTTTTTAACATGACATAGTTAGCAAGTTTGATTGAAGAGATTTTGAGGTCCTGGGCCTATAAGATTTTAGTATGATCTTTTTTCATGTTTTTAATGCTTGAGGCATTATTGCTTAACTTGGAAAAAAAATTAACAGTGTTGCTGCCATTTGTAAGTTTTCTTATAATATTCCTTTTATTAACTTTAAAACTGGCCTTACTGGGTTCAAATAGGCAGTATCCCTTTTAAGTGACCTTTGCAACCCAAGTGTTACTTGCTTATTTGATGCTCTTGTATTTTCCATCTCATTTAAATCTTTGTGTCCACCAAAGCTTAAATTCTATGTCTTAATTTAAAACTCTAAACTATTCCATTGATCATGCTAATTGACATTTACAATGTCCAGTGGTACAGAGTTTGATCCAGTGACACAAATGGATGTTAGCAACCTCTTTTAATAGAATGATTATTTCACTTGCCCACAATTTCAAATATTTTACTATTATCTGGAACTTGTGTTGTTTTCCTCAAAGCAGAATGTTAATATTGCTAATAATCAATGTGCATTTATGTAAAGAGCAAATCAATAAAACTAACATACCAAGTGTTGAAAAAAAAAAAATCTAGGATTTCAAAGACTTAGACAACCCTTACCAATAGTTTCATGTACCTTGTTTATACAGCTCACATAATTCACTCAAAGAAATTCCTCTGAGACTAATGGATACTGTCTTGTATAGATGCCAGTTGAGTTTACAGTGTGACCTGACAAAGCTATCTTTTCTGTTGTGCTGTATGATTGTTGGATCATGCTTTTCAGGATTCTTTCATTAAAATGCTCAGTGTGCATCCATGCAAAAGGTCAAGTGGCTTTGTGAACAAAAGATCTTTTCTCCCATTATGTTCTCTTGACACTTTTGTGGAAATTAACTAGCCTGATAAAAATTTTGTAAAATTTGTATATTACTGTTATAAAAATATTTATAATCCCAGAAAATGTTGTGTTAAATCTTGTGCAAAAACAGTATATTCAGAATAAAAGTTTATCATTTAAAGTCACCACAGTTTGGACTATTTCATTATTTAAAATTCAATTGAAAGAGACAGTGGTCTCTGTCATAAATATATTTTAAGAAAGCCTCCTTGCTGTGGGGAGAATTCTGTGTTGTGAAAATAAAAGTTGGGATTGCAAAGTACTTCTACAATTACGAGCCTTAACTCACAAATATACAAATTTACTTGCAGCTCCCTCTCATAACTCTGACTCTTTTCACGTGCACTTTTACCATCAAGGAATTTAGAAACTTAGTAAACCAGACTGGATTTTTATTGTTAAAAACAAACAAACAAACAAAATCATAGGCAAAAATGTTGCCATGTTTCTTTAAAGACCTTGGGAAAATAGTTCGAATGAAACGTGTTAGAATATCCGAACTATGCCTACCTTTTATTGCATCTGACTTACATTTAAATATTTCTGCTTGCTATTTTATACCAGCTGAGACAATGAAATCTACTGTGAAGAGTTTTTTTAAAAAGGCTGTTAGGTTCCTTTTACATTGGTACCAGCTTACCACCTGCTGCTCTGTGCTCATCTAATAATAAAGCAAGAAGCCTAACATGGTGTGGCTCCTAGCAGAATGGAAGCCTGCTTTTCCTCCTGGGTACTCCCCTGAAAGAGCAAAAAGCACCTCCATGTGGGAGAAATGTGGTATGTAGGTAGCAATGTTGGTGGTTACTAGAAAATCTGACTTTTAGTTTCTGATCAAGGCATTTTAACAGGAAAAATCCTACTTAAAAGAGTAAGTAGATAACAGTTGTTTTTTGAACATCTGGATCCATTCTGTACCAATTTATCTCCTCAATCAATCCTCAACCCTCATTTCCTCCATCAATCATCTTGATGCCACCCCCTCCTCTTCCCTAGGGACCTGCTTCATCAATTCTCCTTCTCAAGCATATTCAGTGTTCCCTTTCCACAGGTCTCCTTCCTTCTGCCTGCAAACATTCAGAACACCTCTTCTTAAAACAAATAGAAAAATCAAACTCCACTGCTGCCCATTAACCCTATTACTTCCTGGACTTATACACCTAGAATTAAAATATTCCTTTATACACCTGGACACATTTGGTAGTCTCTTTGCAATGTACTCAATTAGGCCTTAGAATTTTAGGTTGGAAAGGCATATTATTATCCCTGTTTTCTAAAAAAACTATTTAATATTTTCGATTTAAATTGACTGTTTAAAAAACATTTAAGGGAAATTTAACATTACTGCCATAATTTAAAAAACAATACAATTTGCCATAATTCATAGGCATGTTACATTAAAGTAGGTTTATATTGCCCTGGCGGGTTTGGCTCAGCCTTTAGAGTATTGACCCATGGACCAAAGAGTGCCGGGTTCAATTCCAGTCAAGGGCTTGTACCTCAGTTGTGGTTT